TTCTGACAGTAGCCCCTTGTCCTGAGTACAGATTCCTCATCAGGACTAATAGATATGTCGGCACTCCCATGTCTTTCAGGGCATTCCATAACCTTTCATGATCTAGTCAGTCAAAGGCTTTGTTATAGTTTATAAGGTGCATGCTGATTTTCTTTTGGAATTCTCTGGTGTGCGCCATTAGCCATCGTATGTTTGCAATGTGATCCCTAGTGCTTCTTCCTTTCCTGAACCCTGCTTGGAACTCTGGGATTTCTCTCTCCATCTATGGTTGGAGTCTATGTTGCAGTATTTTGAGCATAATTTTGCTTGCATGGGAGATCAGTGCTATGGCCCTATAGTTGCTGCAGTGTTGTTTCTCCCTTTTTGTGGATGGGGATGTATATTGACCTCTTCCAATCTGTTGCCCATCATTTTGTTTTCCATATCTGTTGACATATGTTGGTTAGCACTAAAGTTGACTCTGTCAATGTGGATTGCAGCAGTTCAATTGGAATATCTGTTCCTGGTGATTTGCTTTTCACTATTTCTCTTATTGAAAACGCAGCTGCACTGGGCAGGGCACGTTTCTAGGATGGAGGACCATCGCCTCCCAAAAATAATACTCTACGGTGAACTTGCCACCGGTCAGCGTAAGAGGGGCACTCCAAAAAAAGATACAAGGACTGCCTGAAACAACATCTCAGGCTCGGCCAATTTGATCACCAACAATGGTTCACCCTGGCCTCACATCGGGAGGCATGGAGACGAGCTATCCACAATGCTGCAGCCTTATTTGAGAAGTCACGCCGAACAAGTCTCAAAGAGAAACAACAATGCAGAAAGAATCACAACCCGGAAACATCACCCAAGGAGACCTTCTGCTGTGCCGGACTTGTTTATCTTGGATTAGCCTTTTTAATCATCAGCGTGCTTTCAAAAAGTGTGGGAAGATTCAGTCCTTCCTGAATCTTCGTTTGCGAAGAAAAGCCAGAGAGAGATTTCTCTTATTGCAGTTTCCACCTCGCTTTTTAGAATTTGGGGTTCATGTTCATACAGCTCTTTGTTCCATGTGTCCTTCATTTTATTGACTAGTGCAGGGTTAGGCAACCTTTCCCCTTTAAGGGCCGAGGGACTTCAGCTCCCAGAATCCCAGGAGCTATTGGCCAACATGGGACTATTGGTCAACATGGCTGAGGCTTCTGGGAGCTGAAGTCCCTCGGCCCTTAAAGGGGACAGTTTGCCTACCCCTGGCCTAGTGCCTTACTAAACTACAAACCCCAGAGTTCCACAGGAGGCAGCCATTTCACTGTTTCTCTCCTTGAGCAAAAGAGGTGATTGGCTCTCCTTCTCAGCCAATAGCAAGGCAGACTGGTAGTAGACCTTCTGGCCCCGCCTTCCCACTTCCTCTTTCTTCTTTTCCGGTTCTTTGGCGGTTGAATTCCGGTTCTTTGGAGGCCTTGTTCTTTTCTGCAGTTGAATCCGTTGCTAATCGCAGGTGAGACTTTGCCATCCATCCTTATTATGGTTTTGAGTCTTTGCTTTAGAGTATCTTGCACCCAGCTCTCTAACGTGGCTGTAAATTTAACCCATTTTAAGGCTATTTCTGACTGCGATTCTGCTGTTCAACATTTGGGAGGGCATTTCTTCCTCCCCAAATCGATATTTCTTTTTCATTTTTATTGATAGCTTTATATATTACACATAAAACATAACGACATTTAACACAATACATCTAACATCAGGGTTGGGGAGAAGGAAGGGATTAACGAAAGGAATAAGAGGTTTTTACAGGAGTAGGAATAAGGAGTAACAAAATATATTTGTTACACCTTATTCTTGTTACTATATTGTACATGTTAACCCCAAAAAACCCCAAGTTTATTATAGTGCATTGTCTAAAAGTAGCCTAATGAGTCATGTGGCAACGACAAAATATTTTTTTATTGAGTATAATAGGAGTAGGAGTAACATTAACGAAAAAAATCTTACTCTGGA